AAATAGGACCTGCTTTTATTACTATTATTCTTCAATCAATCACAGCTTATACTAATCTCCACTGTCCATGTAGCCAGAATAAAAAATAGTTTGTTTTTTATGGATTTGTTAATACACAGTGTTTAAACACGTTCATAGTCCTTGGCTCCTCATGGAGTTGCAAACTGGCTTCAACAGTAACTCATAAAAAGCATAAATACCCATGGAGTCACAACTAATACCAACTTAATGTCTTGCCTTGTCGTGCCTTATACTGGTTCCATGGCAGAAGGGTCAGTGCCTTTTGTGGGACGCTATATATGTGTTAGTACGTTTGCACCGTCCCACCTGAGTCACATCGTCAGGACTGCCGGGTCGGCTGCAGAGTATGCGGCAAAATTGAAACATGAGGCAGTGATCCACACTCTGGCCCTTACTTGGTGCAACAAATTTCGTTGGCCATTCAGCGCGGTAATGCTGCCAGTGTTATGAAAACCATTGAACTAGCTAAGATTCAGAGCGGTCCTTTTTACTTGTAATAATTTGATAAAAATGGCTAAGTCTGGCGAATAACATTATTAATTTTTATGGAACGAAGCCTGTTGCTTCCTTATATTTGTGTCTTCACATGACATGCGTAATTAATTTGGTTTTTGAATGAATAAATTCGACTTTGACTTAATGTCAAATATTTTGATTGGACTCGTAGATGAAAGCCTAGATTTTTTAAACTTGTGAATTGGGTAGTCTTTTTAAAACACATTTTAATTATTAAAACAAATGATAAAAATGTTTTTATATTACTTACATGTAAAATTCCAACCGATTAACTTTTCAAAATATCATAAACTATAAAATAAAATCTTACGTTGGTATCACTGAGCTTTATCGACTACCAACCTAAGCATGCAATTAACGCTCGTAGAGCTCTCTGACCGCAACCATCCCTTTCAGAACCCTGATGGTTGTCAAACATCGAGTATATAACCAGGAATAGAGACGAAATAAGGGCCATACATTCATGGAAACTCATCAGTGATAACTCTCGTTTGCATTTAAATAAAGACAGGCCAACAACTGACCAGTGAGTACATCTCCGTATATTCCATAATCTCAGTACAGAGTACCAAAAAAACCGACCTCAAAAGTACGTGGAATTATTTAAATATACGTTATTTGCTAAGTTTTATTGAAATATCCCCTAGTTCGTTCGGTTCTCACTACTGAAAGTATATTGAGAGAAAAACGCCTTGAATTAGAGAAATAGCAAAATCAGCCATTAAAATAATTGCTCCTAAATTAAACTCAGGCGCTATTTATAAAAATCAATCTTCATGCGTGAACAGCCACCTTAAAAGTGGATGATTTTCTTCAAAATGAAATGGGACCACTATGGAAGTACCCCCTTTCCAACAAAAAAGAATCATGAAAATCGGTTCACAAATATCGGAGTTATCGCGGAACACATACAAAAAAAAAGAACAATCGAATTGAGAACCTCCTCCTTTTTTGAAGTCTGTAAAAAAATATTCTGTATTTATTGTAATAAAGATAATATCTTTAACAATGGCGTGCTGTTCCATTCGGTGGTTTGGGAAAAAGCAGCAAAACATCTAATTACAAAACAAACAAAATCAAATTTCATCGGTAATTAAATATTAAATATGTTATTTTGCAATTTTCGTCCATTATAGCAAAGCTCAAGTAAACTCGATTCTTTAAGGTCGATTTGAAGTGAAACAGTTGACGACAACTATTGACGCTTAGACTATGTTATTTTTTTCCATCCTCTATAGGTGTTATATGCCAGATGTTGTCATATCTCTATCTGAATGAAACTATTTTTTCGGATCTCAATTGCATCTATTTGTTTTCTAAATCAAATAAACATTTCCGTGTTCTGTAAAGGGCTTGAAACAACGTTGCTTTGCAAAAACATTGTAGTAGCAGTAGATCACCTTGTGAAAGAATTCGTCCATATTATGTACTGCCAACTTACGTAGCCTGTCAGGAATGTTCTGCTGCCAAGTGGTAATGTGAATATTAGTGTGCTCCGGTTTTGAAAGGTAAGGGTGCTGGTGAAACTACAGGCACATGGGACTTGTCAATTTATGTCTCAGGGTGACGGGTGCTGTGGCCGAGTCACTCAAATCTTTGCGATTTAAAGCTCAGAGTTTCACTTACTACCAGGCGCACAACTTGTTCGTCCCGTCACTTGATATCATAAAAAAACAAATTTCGGATTTAGATCCGAAAAAATAGTTTCAAAAATATGAACTGTTTTCTCTTAAAAGTTAAAAATTTTGTTCGTACTTGATTCCTGATGATAATACCCGCATTGCACGTCCTTTGTCTACCTTCCAATTAATGCAGATTTGTTATTCGTCACACCAAATTGCTATGAACCGGAATGTTCACTATATTTCCTGTATATTCCCATGAAGATACAGTAAAAGGCGAATGAGGGATAATTCTTATTTGCTTGTTTTATCCTTTTATATTTGTAAGACATATCAGCAACTTTTTATCTTAGAATAATAACGCATAGAAACCTAGTTCACACACGCTAAGTGAGGCAAATTGAAGAGCGCCAAAAGGGCCTACACGAGCGGGCGGGCCTTCAGTGCTCAAGGTCAACTTGCACCGCGAACAGATCAAGAATTTTAGCTAAAAATGACGAAATGTGCGGTAAATGAGTGTAAAAATACGTCAGACACACATAAAATAGATACTAACATCACATTCCACAAGGAAGTAACGCGTTTCAACTTGTATTTTTATATAAATATTCACTAAAACCGAAAATTAACCTACTACTAAAACTAGCCTACATGAATTTGATTTTTGCCTCACTTGTGACAGTTCGTTTGATATGAAACTATCGTTCTATGCGTTATTATTCTAAGCTTTTTATATGGCTTTACGACTTATTTTTGCGGTCGCCAATGTCCCAGTAATACGAGGCAAAACGTGACAATTTTGGTAGGTTCTCTGTTTTAAGCTGGTACAGTATGGGCGTTATATCCACTGATCTTTATATTCGATAATAAAACAGCCACACTTTATCTTTCTACGTATTTTGCTAGGACAAATTTGCACTTCCAAAACCAATATTTGCGATTACGCAATGTCATTACAAAGCGCTACAAATAAAATTCGGATTTAATCCGAATAGACCCAGCTAGAAATTCGCTAGTTGAGATGGAAAAGTTAATGAAGTCTAATTCTTAATTAAATTACAGTGTACCCTTAGTACATACATAGAATTTCACAAACAATTTCTTTTTCACAAGAACTTTACGCAAATTGAAAAGTGTAGTATGAAGTTGAAGACATGTCGCAAAACCAATTTTTTTTTCTCGAAAAATATCTCCTGCTTAAAATCATTCAGCCAGTCAAGTTAGCAGACTTGATATTGTTAAGTTTTTCAATCGTTTCAAGAAACGATTACTTGTATAATATTTTCGTCACAAAAGGAACCATTCCTTTAAGTTGTTTAGCTATCGGAACGGATGACCCACCTTGACGATTATAAAGACGTTTTGCGTATCTTCGCTAATGCATACCATAAATAGTGTTGTCTTAAAAAATGGAATCGTGTTTCTAATGTTATTTATTACTCTCATAAGAATTTGTCATTGATATTTTAGGTACGCAAAGTAAAAGGACTTTATAATTAAATAAATATAAGTGTTAATATCGAAAATGCAAAATTTTTTTGACAAACAAGTCGTGCATCTGGTGGTAAGGTTGGTTTCAGAGCACTGCGAATTTATGGCACACCGGAGTGAAGTAACACGTGCGGCGTTAGAACATCGTTTTACAGTGAAGCGGATCGATCCGCACGGAACACGCTCTGCGTGCCGCACAAACCACCCATGCATTCATTGTAGGCGGCTGTCTTCCGTTAATATCCGCACCTAAATTATACTCGATTCAAAGCACTGCGGATTCTACGCAGGTGGACAGACTGTACAAACAGTACAACTGTGAAATCAGCCTAAAAGTTGCAGTGCCCCTCTGAGCTTTACATAACAAAGAACTGAGGGGCTATGCCGCTTCGCCCGTTACCCTGACACATAAGTTGACAAATCCCATGAGCCTGTAATTTCACCAGCACTCTTATCCTTCAAAACCAAAACGCAGTAATGCTCACATAACTATTTTGCGGCAAAAATAGGTAAGGTTCTATTTCCCTGGACGAACTCTTTCACAAGGAGCTCTACTGTCCCTAAAAACTATTTGTCTTACACTTTTTAATATTTTTTAATGTATCAGATGCAGATTAAATAACTATAGCTTTCGAAAGTCTAAGACATGTCAAAATTATAATCGCGTTTCTTCGAGGTCAGATTTCTTAATAATGATCGACGTATAGTCTAATTTTCCATCATTTGTCGAATACGTTATGTTAACTTATGAGATTATTAAACAAATTAAGCAACTTTTGTGAATATAAAATTAGTTTTTAGTGAATTGCTAAAATACTAGGGTAAAATATTGTAAAACATTCGAAAATCTTAGTAGCACAGCCGCTAGATTAGGACCATGGACCCTTGATGAGGAAGTTTGGACTTCGAGTATCGCTAAGATTTATTGATTAAACTTTTTTTATGATACCATGTAACGGGACGAACAAGATGTGCGCTTGGTGTTAAGCAACACGCCTGTCCGTAGCACTTGCAGTGTCATTTAGACCTTTAAATCGCAAAGATCTTAGGGGCACTTCCGTTGCGCCCATCACTTGAAACATTAGTTGACTAGTCCCATGTGCCTGTAAATTAACCAGCCATTCAAAACCCAAAAGCAGTAATGCTCATATTACTACTTGACGATAGAATAGGTAATATGGCAATATTTCCCTGGACGAACTATTTAACAAGGAGCTCAATTGCTACTACATTATACAATTTATTTTCTAAATTCGTTCTGATTCGGATTCCCCGGGGAAAGTAGAGTTTGAAAACAAGTGGTTGATCTGACTATCTAGCAGATTATAATTATTATTAATAAGTACGTACCTGGAACCCATCGTGAGGAAAGTTGTAGACGCCATGTTTGAAGAGTATTGTTGACGGTTAGCGACAACTCTCCTTTGTTCCTATACCAAAGGCCTTCCAGCTCACTGTGCTAACACAATGGGCACACACTGGCTCAGTAGCATTGCCTTACAGCATGTTTGCAAAACGATTAGCGTGCTTGTTCCCGCTCCCAAAGTTGACATTGCGCACTTACTGATTTTTCAACCTTGCCGCTACACTTAACAATAATTTAAGTAAACTTTGCTATTTTCATATGTATCACTCCACTTTGAATGACATGTTTGTGCTCACGAAACACTTCAACAATGACATCTTATTTTCGCATGTTCTCAGAATCACATGAACGCTTTGATTTACTGAGCAAACAGCTATTTATCACATTTCTGATTGCAATACAATTTATTGTAATAGTTCGACTTTATAACTTATTGTTGCTTTTGTATATTACATATTTTACGTATAAATAACTTTTTTTAGTAACTACACTTAACACTTTAAATAGCCTAAAGTTTATACTTTTTATCTATATCACTAATTTAGAAATACAATTGTAATATGAATACTCACTAATGAGTAACTTATTTTAAGCACTATTTTTATCTAAAGTGTATTTATTAAGTCGTAAGAACTGAGAACGTAACGCAATTACGCGAATGAAAGTTTTTTAGACGCAGCGTTAGAAACGGCGTGCCGACGCGGTTCGAGACAGCGGAATGACGCGCTGCTACACTCGACACCCAGTGAACTGATATTCTACAAAACGCGGTATCTCTGTCAACATGACCATGTGCAGGTTTAATTAACTATCGGCTGTATGCAGTGTAAAAATTATTATCAAAAACCAAACAGTGGCGTTTATCTCATTCCTATTTAACACGATTTGCCGAATAAGGTTACTTTAGAACTATAATAACAATTAACGCGGTTAGATAGCTTGTTTACCTCAACAATTCCTAATATTTTTTCGTTAGGGACATTATATAAGATAAGTTTAAAGTGATTAACATTCTTACATTAACGTTACAGTACATATAAGAAAATGTTATTTACATTTTGAAACAAGCCGATGTTTCGGGTCCAGGTCCCATGGTCACGGTTGGCTTAAATGTTATTATTATATTAAATGTTATATATGTTAACATTTTTTTTTTTAAGTAGTGACAGACATAACATTAATACGAGGAATAAAAATAAACAAAGTATCAAATTAATCTGAGGGGCAATGTATACGCTTCTATAATAAAATATCGATTGGTATTCAAAATTTGCCATTTACGAGCTTAAAACAATCGTGAAACAAAAACTTTATACAACTTCTGTGTACTTGGATAACAAAAATCCGTGGTAGTGACAAACGGCTCACTACCACGGATTTTTGTTGTTTTATTAAAAAAAAGCTTTTTCATTAAATATATATCATATAATAATTTTTAAATTAAATATTGCAATGATAAATGTATTCAAATGTATATTTGCAAAGAGCAACCCCTAGAGTTTGATACTCATTCTCTCAGGGGAATCTGCCATACGGATGAGCAACAGAGTTTAATCAAGTGTAATTTGCTTACCTATGAAATAAAGATTATTTATTGACTTTGATAATGTTGCTTCTTTTAATTCAATTATTTGTGATATCTTTTAATTTCCAATCGATTTCCAGATTGACTCATTTGATAGTTCTTTGTGAATTTGGGTAACACTTTTATTATGAGACTAAGTGACAAGACGAACAAGTCGTTCACCTCGTGGTAAGTGACACGACTGTCTATAGCTATTACAGTGCCATTCAGAGCTTTAGATCGCAAAGATCTGAGCGGCACTGCCACTGCGCCCGTCACAGTGTGACATTAGTTGACAAGTCCCATGTGCCTGTAATTTCACCAGCACCCTTACCCTTCAAAACCGAAACGCAGTAATGCTCACATTACTGCTTGGCGGCAGTGATAGGTAAGGTGGCAGTACTTCCCTGGACGAAATCTTCCACAAGGAACTCTACTGTTACTAAAATATTACATACATACATACATATACTTCACGCCTTTTTCCCATCGGGGTAGGCAGAGACAACAGTCTTCCACTTGCTACGGTCCTGACACACATCTTTCGCCTCATCAACGCGCATCAATGCTTTCATACACGCTCGTCGGTTAAGGGTACTCTTGATCTGGCCCTTCTTTAGGATGGCCTCAATTTGGTCATGATAAGTTCTCCTTGGTCGGCCCATACCAACTTGCCCGCTCACACTCGCCTTATAAATCTGTTTCGTCACTCTTCTTTCATTCATTCTCTCTACATGTCCGAAACATCTAAGCATCCCTTTCTCTATATTTGCCACTATATCTTCTTCCACGCCGCAACGCTCTCTTATCACACTGTTCCGTAATTTATCCATCCGAGTCACTCCAGCCATACTCCTCAAAGCTCTCATTTCTACTGCATTAATTCTACTTTCATGCTTCTTCTGCCAAACCCAACATTCACTACCATACATCAGTGTAGGAACCAGCACCCCCCCATGCACAGCCAATCGTGCCTTTTTAGATACTTTCTGGCTACCCATGAAGGTATGCAAGGCACCATTCACCTGATTCCCTGCGGTCACTCTTCTTTCAATGTCTCTTTCACATTTTCCATCACACGTAAACGTAGAACCCAAATACACAAACTCTTTTACTTGATCCACTTTCTCTCCTTCAATCAATATCATGCAAATCGTCATATCTTCCTCTCTTTCAAAAACCATTATCTTTTTTGTCTTTCCCACATTAATTTTCATTCCTTTCCTTTTAAGAGCACCATTCATAATATTTACCATCTCCTGCAACTTCTCCACTGACGACGCTAATACCACCTGGTCATCGGCGTATAGGAGGCACTTAATGAGTAAACCATTCATTCTCAGCCCACATGTACTCTCTTTCAAAACTTTCAAACAATTGTCCATAATTAGGTTGAACAGCCATGGCGACGCTACACATAGGGATGACAGGGGTCTAAGACCTTTCCCGAAATCAAACTAGTCAGTGTAAGCACCATTTATTCTGACACAGGCACTGGAATCCTCATAGAGAGATTTCAGTGCCTGAACTAGACTGCCGTCCACCCCATATAACATATAACATAGGCAAAGTAGACCACAATTCTTTCCTTGACACTCTGTCGTAGGCCTTCTCCAAGACTATAAAAGCGCAATAGACTTTTTGTCTTTTAGTCAAGAACTTTTCGGTTATGTTACGCAAGGAGAAGACCTGATCCACGCATCCCATTCCTCTTCTAAATCCCGCTCGCACGTCCCAAATTTTTTCTTCCGTTCCTTTCATCACTCTCTCAATCAATACCTTTGCATATACTCGTAATTTGCCGACAATGCTAAGAACACTGATTCCGCGGTAATTTTTGCAGTCTTGCTGCGACCCTTTTCCCTTATATAATGGTTGCTCCAGTCTAGTCTCCTGACAACACACTTGAACAAAGGTTGAAAAGGCGGTACAGCTGACTGGCGATCACACCCTGTCCAGCCGTCAGCATTTCAACAGTAATTCTGTCATATCCCGCAGCTTTACCAGATTTCATAGTATTCAATTACTTTATAATTTCTTCCATGCTTATACTTTCATTTTAACTTCCGCTCGTCTCTATGGCGATCTAAGCCTGCATTTGTACATCTTCCTTTTCAAACAAACTTTCAAAATACTCCTTCCATCTCTTTAATACGCATTCTCCTCCTTTCACTATACTGCCATCGTGGCCTCTGATTTTTTGCAGTTGCGAGGTTGTGGTTTTGCCTCTAGCTGTTGTTAAGGACTTCCAAAACCACTTAATGTTGCTTTGAAAGTCATCAGATAATCTCCTGTCAAACTCGTCTTTCTGGCACTCTTTCTTCCTTCCCACAATATCTTTCGCTACATCTTTTATTCTTTTATACTCTTTTCTTGCTTCGTTTACATCTTCTTTCGTTGCCTTTTGTATTATTTCATTAGCTTTCATAGATAACCAATCTAACCACGCTTTGTTCTTATCAGACAGAACATTACGGACAACTTCATCCAAACAAACATTCCTCGTCTTCAGCCCTTTTTTCCTTTTGGATACACCACACATATCAGTAGCGACCTCTACCATTCCTTCCTTAAATAGCTTCCATAAATCTTCAATCCTACATACTTCGTCAATTCCATCAAACCATTCAATCAGTTTACTCACATATTCATTTTTCACATCTGTCTTCTGCAAATTCTCAACTTTTATTCGTTCTAGCACACTAACAGGTTCCTTCACTCGGTGCCGCCACCTTGTAAAAAGACCACCTATTCGGCTAACCACCAGAAAGTGGTCGGTGTCGATACCAACTCCACGGTATGCTCGCCTGTCAAGCACTTTTTTTCCTAATTTTTCATCCGCTATTACAAAATCTATCATACTCGTCAAACTTCCTTCTGCTCTTGTATACATGTGGATCTTTTTGTGTTGAAACATGGTATTTGTCACTAAAAGATTCCACTCCAAACATACTTCGAGCAGACACTTTCCATTATCGTTCACTCTTTCATCTCCAAACGTTCCAAGCACATTTTCATATCTATCACGCTTCACTCCTACCCATCCATTGAAATCTCCTAACATGATAATCCTTTCATTTTGTTGACTTTAATTCAAAACCTCTCTTACACTGTCCCAAAATTCCTCTCTTTCTATTTGGGCTTTGGTGATCTGCTTTGAACCCGTATCTGTCGGAGCATAAACCCCTAAAATAAAGATGCGAGTCAGGCCAACTTTCAACCTCACTCATAGGAGTCTAGGGCTTACACACTCAAACTCAAGAACACATTCATTCAGTCTAGAAGAAAAAAATACGCCAACACCTTGGCACCCTCTGCTGGTTTCGGGCGCACCTGACCAGTACGCTGTGTATGATCCACGTCAAGTATATTTTATAGAATTATTTGGTAAAAATATTTTTTTTTTATTACCATCAAGTGACGCGAACAAGTCGTGCGCCTGATGGTAAGCTACACGCCTGTAACAGTTACAGTGCCACTCAGAGCTTTGAATCGCAAAGATCTGAGGGGCACTACCACTGCGCCCGTCACCCTGAGATATAAGTTGACA